TTATTTTTTCTAGTGTTGGTTATTATTTTATTTTCAATCATACTTATTTAATAAGTGTTTATTTTATAAGAGTTATTTTCAGTAAGGTGAAGTAGTCAAGTTTCATTACTTGTACGCAGCAGCGTTCTGCGTACATGTAATTTGGTTACAAGTCTTACAACAAATGTATAATGGTAAATGATATAGGCGATACTTTTACTTATTCAAGTTCCTAAGAAAAACAATGAGTAAGTAAATAGTTTAAATTAAACAGGTTATGGCAAATAACTGTAGTGTGGCGCATGTTGAAATTATTGTTAGTATAACTACACACACACACATATATATCTATATATATGTATGATATTATAATATACGTGTTTAATGTTCATGTTAGAAGCGCAAGTTCTTAATATTTGTTTTATTTTTCTTGTCGCACACTTAAAACTTTATAAACATTTTTATTTATCGTTTCCCTTTATTTTTATTTCTTAGCGCAGTTTTATTTCAACCGTCGTAGGGTAATAAAACATATACATATAATATATATATTTATACTCAGTCAGTTGTTAACTTGCATATTTTCTCATACTATTAAATACTTAACAGTTTCGTTTCGAAACTATAATTATAGCACTATCATAAAAAAATACAAATAATAACACATTAAATGTACCACAAGATGTTATATTTTGTCGTATAATATCAAAAATGCATGGTTCGAAATGAAATCTGAGATAACGTTGTTCAAGTAATGCAACTGCTCAAATAAAGAAAAAACTTTACTCTAATTTCTAAAGTGTCCAAACTATTTGCGTCAAATAATTTTATCCAAGTGTTGTAATGCGCGTAAACTAACTCTAGATAAGTTATTTTGAAAGTGAGTTATAACTTTCTAAGTAATCTATTTCAATAATATATAACTTAATCATAGTTTTCGACAGTGACGTTAGACGTAGACGGGGGTCGCGAATCGTCATGGGTCGTAAAAGTTTCATTTCGCAACCCTACAGAGAGTTAAATACCACTAGTATATAGTATTATTCTATGTCATTGACTTCAATATAGACCAACTGTAATGCAAACTTTTAGGCGAAATCTCGGCTTACACCGAAGTTGATGGCATATTAGTTATTTTTAGTACACTACATTTTAACCGTAAAACATAATTTTAAGTTTAGCCATAAGTATAATAAATATGTGCAGTACAAATTTGATAATTATAATAACAATGTACCTCAAATTTATAAAACATTTTTTTTATCAACAGTAAAAGGTTTTTAACGAGCTTGTGAGATCATCCACATAGGATTGCAAATTGTGATATCGAGATTTTAATTAAATGTTAATGTTTCCAAGAAAATTAATACTGTGTTTATATGTTTTCTTTTTTGTTGTATCATCCTTTAACGTAATAAAAGCATAAATTTAGTTAAATTAACTAGTTAACTCTGGCAGCTGGTTTAAGTTTAAAGAACATGTTTGAAAAGATAAATTTATTTTTATTTTATTTTCTTAGGGACGATTTCGAAGTACGTTTGTCTTTATTATTTTCTCCTTTTAAATGAATGAAAAATAATGCGTTGTAATGAAACTCAAACAAGACCTCCAGTAAATTAACATTGTTACAAAGGTGATTATTGGGACCGGTATTTCGTTATGGTCTACTGACTCGAGTTATACAGACGAGATATAAGGGCGAAATAGAGTTTGGTGGCAATCAGACGTGTTGGAGGTGTTAACGAGCGGGACGCGACAGCTGTATATCGTGTGAAAATCTAAATAAGACAAACATAATTTTAAATTTGCACCGGCCACTCGGGAATAATATTTTGAAGTAAACCAGAAGAACTTCAGTAAAAAAAAAACAAGAAAATATGATTAAAATATCTTTATCGGACACGTGTAATTAATTTAAAAAAAATAGAATCATCAAGTTTTTTAACACGCAACAATACATGCAATAATAAGGAAAAATTATTGTAAGTATACGAAAAGAGTCATGTAATCATTTTACACCGATAACTCATTCAGTTAAGCGTGCAAATTTATAATTTTAAAAGATAAACTTTTTGACGCCTGTTTGGCCGATACAGTCACGCGCTATAATTTAACCGTAATATTTTAGGTTCAGGACAGATAACTCGATTTTCTATGCTTTTAATATTGCTTTCGATTATATAAAATAGCCATCATTTCGTTAAGAATTTAAATATATTCGCTATGAGTAGTTTTCTTTGTACGAAGTCAGTAAAGTAAAAAAGACGATCATTATCTAGCAGCATCAAAAAACTAAAGTCTAAACGGAAAGCACAATATGTGAAACATTCGAAAATAGTCAAGTACCTACGGTTGGCTTTGCTACCGGTTGTGCTTTCCAAACCGTTGTTGATTTGCACCGGTCGCGTGATTGTTACTGCGTACGTTTGTGGCGCAAAGGAAGACAGAAGTCTTAAAAAAGAACGGAACATCGCGTGTGCGGTTAAAAAGGAAATTCGCGGCCGTGCCAAATTCCGTGATGTCGTAATAGTTTCTTTTTTGGTCAGTCCAAGAACAAAAGGAAACGGTCTCAGATAAACCGATCGTAGCAAAAACAGCCGAGTAAGTTTTCCACGCGAGCAAAGAACACGCACGATACTGGCTGGATTCTAGAACGACATAAATGTGCACATATCATACAAGCTTATATAATAGAATAGATACGTGTACGTACTTTTAAAGGTTTTTGGCTATTGTAGAACCTTGTAAGACCGTTCCAAATCGGTGAAAAAATCAAAAAAAAAAAAAAACTAGAAAAATAATTTTTCGAGTTTTTCAGTCTGTTTGAAGTCCTCTGTTTTCCGGTTTAAGCGGAATTTGTTTCCTACTATATTTGAAAAATGCTTGCGAAAAGTTTTCATTTCTTTGAAATTATTTGTTCCGATCGAATTTCCTGTGAGGATAATTATAACTTGTTGAGCTAATAATTCTGAAAATCGAATTGAGTTATTTATTATTAATTCGCTTTTTATTAAAAAGTGTATATATTATATAGTATAAAGTATTTTGGAATATTTCAGTTTTTCACATGGAAATGTTCCGCTCAAACAAAATAACAAGGAATTTCATGTAAAACCTGAAAAATATTGAGTATTTCTACTACCTTATTTTAAATCGAAAAATAACATTTGTTTTCCTTAATTTTTTAGTGTATTGAGTGACATATTTTTATAATTGAAAGTAATCCATTAAAATTTGATTAAAACTTTACAATACGTGTTAATGAGTTACAAAATTAAGGTATGATTTTTAGTTATTCAATTATAGTATATATAAAAAAAAAAAAATGTACATAAATGATTAAATATGTAAAATTGGTAAAGTTTAATACAAAATAATATATATTATACATAAATAATATGTGGTTATTATTTATTGATACCTATTTCTTTTTAACAAGATAATGTTACCATTTTTCCATAGTACCAACAACAAAATAACTACAAATATAGTACAAATTAAAAACATGATGATGATTTTGTACTGTATTAATAATGTAAATCATACTTTGCCCTTTGGATAAATTCTCTGAAATATAATTACATTATAGAATGTTCTAAATATATGTATATCATCATCATCATCATGAGACGCAGCAACCAATTTCAGTACTTTAATGTAACTTTCATCTAAATCAGCTAGTTTTAACCAATTTTAATCATCATCATCAAGCTTAACGGGCCTTTAAGGCCTAACGCTGCCACCACGAGATAGCAGGTTTCAAGACGGATTCGCTGCCCTGGACGGGTCGTTAGTCCGTCGTCGCAGAGGGGGATAAGGACTCGCCTTCAACATCGCACTGTTGTTCGCCAAATTGATAGTGAAAACTTGTTACAAATTACCTACACATTTATTTTTATTTTAATAAATGTTGTTAAGTAGATTTTAATAAATAAAATATATTTTAAATAGTAACCTAAAAAGTTGAAAGGTATATTATATTTACAATATTTTTTTTCTATTTATTTAAAGCGCTGAACAGATTTCTTCGTTTAGCTACTCTACAGATCAGAAGTCGTACCTAAAAGGTACTTTATTGGACCAAAAATTAAAGAAATTTACCCCTTCCCTTTCAATTGAGAGAAACATCAAAAAATTGTACATAATTATTTTTAATTTGAAACTACGATGCTCTATAACTTTTTTTAAAATAGTCGTATAAGTTCCAAATTTGTATGGAATATTTTTTAAACACAATTCTACCTATAAACATTGACAAAACTAAAAAAAATATCACAAATCCTTTCCTCTAGAAGGGATAGAACTGTTTTCTTTATTTCACTTTTTCAAGCCAAGTTTTAGAGGTTTAGACTTAAAAATTAGATTAAAGTTCGATCTAGAACGGAACTATAACATATACAACTTTCTCAAAAATCTGCAGTCAACATTTTTTTTTATTAAGAAAAAACCCCGAAAATAGTGGGAAATTACACTGTGGCCCTAGTCAATTTCCAGGTTGCTATGTTTGAGTGAATCAACAGTCAACAGGTAATGAACATATTTTCATTATATTGTTAATTACGGTACATGGGTAACTATGACAATAATTTTTTATAGACAGATGATCATCTTAATCGTATCTATGATTAAGATGATTACTACCATCTACAATATGATTACTACCCTAACACTAAAAATTAATATTCAAGTTCATTATTGTCATTAGGTACAATGATTTTATCGATATTTGTATTTTAAGCTGTGAACACTGGACCTCCCTTACTCACTTACCTACTAATACTTTCTTACTGTGGTTGGTTTGGACTGTACTGGTTTTCACAGATTCGCATCCTTATTTCAAACCTATTATGATTTCGATACAATTTTACGGTACCTTGTAGTTTTAAATATGTTAAATTGTTTAAATATTATTAGTTAATTTTCCAAATTTATTCGATTAAACTTGTTACTACAGTTTGCAACTCTTTTTGATTTTTTTTCTTTTATTTCATTAAAACTTGATTTATGAATATTGTGTTCTTAACCTAAAATTTAAATATATTGTGCAACGGACGATTTAATTACATCTATGAAATGTAAAAACACTTTATACTCGAACGGCAAGCACAAACGTTTTAATTCGTGTAAATAATCTTTGAAATCCTTAATGATTCTCATTATCAAATCGTCAGTAGACAGTTGGTGTACACTAACGAAACTGAGCCAATCAATATTGTTTTTGCTAACACTGTTTAAATCGTTTAGAATCTCGTCGGCCTTTGCCTTCACTCTTGCGGAAACGTCTTCTATCTCGTTGGTGTCGTTTATTTTTGCAAACTTGAATTCTGATAAAATATCCACAAGAAAATCATCTTTGTACGCCGTTACCTTCAATGCGTATTGGATAACGTGACATACAAGAACTTTGATGCGTGTCAGCGTGTGTCCTTCGAGTATGGATAGTTGTTTTTCATAAATATTCAGTACAACCGAAACATAACAATACAATCTGGCATCAACAATTTTGACCAATAAGTGTTGGTGGTCGAGGCGACCGTACGGTATGTACATCCAAGTGCGGTTTTCCACAAACTTCCTGGTAATAGTCACCTCGACTTCATGTCGTTGTTTCGCCTTACTCCAATCGACATCGGCTCCAGTTATTTGTCTGAACAATAATTGATTTCCGTCGTCCCAAAATGGTTTTAGATATAAAAATGTTATCGTGACTAAAACGACACGACCGTTTAAAATACCTGAAAACATTCCAGAATCCCGAAGGTCGCTGAACATATCTTTGTATACACCCTGCTTTTTCGAAACCAAATCAGATTCCATTGTAGTCAGAGGAAGGTAATTTTCAGCCACACAATTTTCGATGAAATCTGAAACATCGGTTTGCAGTTGGTGGTCTTCGAACGGGTTTTCATGGATAAAAGGTTTATTGTCATAGTATTGACTGATGGCAATGATTTTCAAATAGTAACTCCAAAGCCATTTGCCCGTCTCAATATTTGCCAACAGTAATAAATGAATTATAATTTCTACTTCCTCTTTAAGATCTTTTACTGTTTTCTCGTTATCAATGAAAGGCTCTCCACTTTTTACATTTTCAATTAAATTCTTCATGTTTAATATATTTGACTTTGTAATGACACAAAAACTGCATTTGACGTCTTGAGCTTTTTTTTCTAATTTATCCCGGCTTTTTAATTTCAATTGGTAATCATTAATATTGTTACAAGCCCGTGTTGACAACATTTTCTGTTCAGCGGGTTTAATACTTATCGGATGTTTGTTGAATGTTTTCAAATCATTTACGGTACATACATACTCTTCAAAACAAGTTTGAACAAAAAATCGTATAGGAGTTATCTAAAATAATCAAGTTGGATTTTAATTGCTGATAACAGTAATTATAAAACTCTTAAAAATAAAAAAAATTTGGTCAGCCTTGAAATAATCTATGATATTATATCCAATGATACATTATGCTTCAAAGTAACAGAAACTTAATTTCAGTATGATGCAGCTATTAAATATAGTTCGACGACTTCCGGGTAAAAAGGGTTAAGTTCAAAATTGCAATTTTTCAAGAGAACGAAAACAAAGTTTTTTTTCATTTTAAAATTGTAACGTTTTAAATAAGCTATAAAATGCTAAAAAATATAATCAACAAACTGTTATTAACTTACCCCTTTTAAATTAAAATCATACTGATGGTAAAAAGGGGATAACTTTACTTGTCTCTTAATACCCAATCATATTTTTGTTATCTCATAATATTCATGCTCCTAGAATTAAAATTTGTATTTTATGGCGACATAACCCTATTTTCGACAAAAATAGACTTAACCTCTTTTACCCGGAAACCGTCGAGTTTATTTTGATATTTTGTCTGAAAATATGTTATATTATATTATACACGGATACAAAGTTGTGTCAGTATTTTAACAAAATACCATAGTACCTAAATATTTATATTTTGCATTATTATAAAACATTTTAACGTAAGGAATAATTTGTATATTGTACAACTGCTATCTACTGCTAAATATATAATCGAATTTCTTAATTTTTTCAAAGAAAAATATATAGTTTAAATAAATGCTTACCTGGTGGTTACCTGCTGATTCTATTATTTTTATATTTGACGTTATAACAAAACAGCATAACAAGTATGCACTACTTTTGGCAGCCATTGTTATTTTTTATAGTTAAAATTACACTACAATAAAATACAAGTATTTCGTACGATATGGTGTAATTAATATTAACTTATTATACTCACAAAACTTTATACGGTAGCTTAAGGGTTTCGTCATGTTAACTTGTGTCAACAGCATAAGAAAATAATTAAATTTTTTATTACAACACTTGTTCATACAAATTGCAATTTTTTTTAAATTATATTTTTCTTACTACAACTTGATTTATATTCATTGTGTTATTAATTTAAAATTTAAATAGCAGCGTACGACAGTCTTTAGAGCTCTGTAATCAATTTCTATAGTTTAAATATTCTAAAAGTTTATGTTTTTGCAACACTTTAAAATTATTTTTTAATTTAAAAATAACAATAGAATGAAAATATCTGGCTGGTTAATAACAAGTTTTGAAGAAATACTTGAGATAATTAAAATATTCAGATAGGAGAAGAAAAATTGTTGTGTACAGAATATTTAATATATATATGTATATATATATATAAAATATCTAAGATGTTTTTTTAAATATGTATTTTACATAGGGAGATAGGACGTGATCTAGTTTTGAGGTACTTCGTGGCTTTCCAGCTAATTAAAAAAATAGTCAAACTCTTCATTAAATAGGGGTTTTATTATCAAAATGTTAAGAGGATAAATACCAAAATTTAATATCTATTCCCCTTCTGCTAACTTTAGGAGGTGTTAATATATTAAGGTGTTATTTTAGATCGTAAACTGACCTAGAACCCGCATATCTCATCAAAAATTCAGCAAGGATATCAACGGCTTAAAATGCTTTAACCCCTGTCATATCGCTAATACAATTTAAACGGAAACTGTTCCTCCCTCCTACAAACAGCTTCGCCGCCCTTTCTTGTTATATAAGGCGCCAGTGTGGGGATGTGCTACGAAACCACATATCAATAAATCTAAACTTTCTTATTCAAGATATTACGCATATTTTCTAACGCTTTCTAGTTTATAAGCAATACCCCTTATGAGTGGACTGTAGTTACTAGCTACCTTTACAGTTGAGCATATATTTGTTTTGATTATATTATTAGATATTTCTGTCATTTGTCTATTATTTATTATCAGATTTATTGTCAGTTATGTTTACTTTTCCCCACTTTACTTGTGTATTAACTATTTTAATTCGATCGCTTAATTAACCAATATGTATAATAAATCAAATTGTATTTTATTAGACGATTTTAATCCTCCTAAATTAATGTGTATAAATTATATTTTTAACAGTATTAACGATACAATTTGGCGAAGAATAACCGGTCATCGAAGTGCACTATATTTATAAATTATGCAGTACGTGCATTATGTGCTTACATATTATTATGTAGCGTTACGTGTGTATTAGCGAGTGTTAATTATTTTCAAAGTTGAGCTATAGATTTAGCATTAATTAAATTTAAATCAGTTTCAGACCTATTGTATTTATTTGTATATGAACTAGGCAAAGTGTATTATAGTTACGTGATTAAACTTTGATTTGAACAAAAAAAAAATCATTAACGCAATAGATCGATTAGGCTTAAAGACAAAAATTGAGTTAAGTAACTTAAAATTACAAAGTTATACTCGTGAGACTAACATAGATGAAAATATTACGAGCTTGCCCTTTATAAAGAATGAACTAACATATAATTAGAATTTAGGGTATGGTCCAAGTGGTCTCATTCGAAAATATGGGTGAACATTATTGCTGACAGTGTTACTATTATTAATGGTATTATACTATTTTAGTAAGTTTATTACACTATTAAATTGTATACTTATTTGACATTGTAAATCTATCAGTTAAATTAGCTAATTATTATTAAGCAATTATTTTGAATTCATTTGCAATTTTATTAAAACTTATTTAGTACAGAAATTCAAAATTTTTAAATATTATTTCTATAAAACAGAGCGCTGTTTTATGATCAGCTCATTGCTGAATTAGAAGAACATTAGCTATGGGTAATATTCAGGTATGAATACTACATGTTCAATTAATATGTTTGCAATATTTGCAAACATATTAATTTATTATAGGACATGGAATCTACGTTGTTATCTATAACCACAAAGTTTGTTAAGTACCTATAAACTACAAACTACAAAGTTATACTATAAACTATATTTTAACGATACTAATATTACAAGTTCAATAATATTGTTTAATTCATCACGTATACATTTATGTTTGAGAGTTTTGTGATTCTTTTCGACTATAAACGTTTTCAATTATATGCCTGAATAACTAAATTTTAGTAACTCATTGATGATTTTATTAAAAGAGAGAATACATGTTTGGTAAAATTAATAATTAGTATTTACTTATTTGTTATTAAGAAACTAACCATAACTCCTTAGTGACTTCTGTCTTCCTGCTGCAATATTAGGCTCGGGACATGCTACCGATCTGATTAATCTAGAAAAAAATGTAATAAAATAATTAATTAAAAACAATATCGATTTGTACAAACAAATTTTAAAAGTAAAACAATTATTGTAAGCAAATACATTTTTTTCGAATAATAAGAACATCGAAATAAATGTTAGAGTAGGTACTTTTGACTTTTGGGTCTTATCTTAAATATTTTCTAACAGGTACGTTTCACATCGTTTCTTTTTCGTCGTGTTTCTTTCTTTTATATTATTTTAGCTCCAAATGCCTCCACCAAATTACAAAAGCTCCATATTACGTTTCTAATGACGCTCTCCATAAAGTCATCTCCATCTCAACAGTAAAAAGCGCCGCCAAAATATTCTACAAGCGCTTCCACTCCAATAATCACAACCATCGAAATCCCTTAATCTCCGAACTCTCTGTCCCCGCTATTCCTGGGGCCCCAGGAAGGCGCCTAAAACGTACATGGTGCCGTGACTTACTAGATGACTAACCTCACTACCACATGACGAAGTACCAACACTGGTTGGCTCCTTCTTACAAATCATCAGTCTCTAATATATTTATATATATATATTTACTTATTTACTTTTCTCTTCTTCTTGCAATCGCACGAACCTATTGTAAACCGTCTTGCTTTACAGATTGTTCATTTATTTATAAAAAAAAAAAAATGTATTTTAGCAAATGAAACAATTTCCACAAAACTGCTCTAAGCTAAATATTAATGAAAGTAACTAGCGAAGTCATAGAAATAAAAAAATGATTAGATTGACGTTAATTAATTTCTATCACAAAGTACAATAGTTGCATATTTTAGTAATTAATAAAGGTTTAAGATAAACGTCGCCGAGATACATTCCTTGTAGACTCTTCCCGGCTCCCTCTGTCAAGAAAATCTTCATCAACATTCAAAGCGAGTATGTAATATATTATACAATTGTTCCACAACAGTAACAATGTGCCTCTGTAAAATGATCGGTCCTTTTGCACAGTAATTACGGTTCGAATAGGTCCTCGGACAATAATATCGTTATTATACTCAGTACTTCTCAAGTAGTATACATTCAACATTGTAGACTGCGTTATTTAACTTACAAAGGCCGCATGGTCGTTGTAATTGCTTTTTCTCCACATAGTCCGACTGTCCAGCGTCTTACCTTCAACCCTTTGTATTAACAGGAGTAGAAACGGATTGTTTTAACATAATAATGTTTTTAGGCTGGGGTCAATCCAGAAAACTCGATGAGTTTTTTTTAGTTACGCTAAATGCTTGACAGCTATGTCGCTGTTTTTTTTACAAAATAACATTAATAATAATAATAAACAATGCACTCGATTTATTTATTTATTACAAAGCTTTTACCAATACAATATCATACTTCTACATTTCTAGCTTTATCTCATGATTTTTCTTTTGCAATTAAAGTTTCATGGGACAGCGGTTGACCTACAAGGCCCGTTAAACTACATGGCGATGATGATTTTATTATTATTAGATAATAATAAAAAAATATTCAATCAAGTTTAAAGGGCAAAAATGTGTTTTAATATCAATTTTGTTTCAAATTTCTCACAAGAAATCCAATTAAAATAATATGATTTATGGAAATTTTCATTAAAAATCCATAATGTAAAATTGAAAAAAATAACCTAACATGGATAACCTTTTTAATCTACGTAAAATTATATATCAAGTACAAAGATCAATGTTTGCAGTTCAAAATCCGGTAAACCCTATACATATATGCTGTGATGACGTACGAAGAACGAGGATCTCATGACAAAAAAAAAATATAATATTATGCATGTATACATTATACGTAGTACATATATATATATATGACATACGGATTAATAGTAAGTATATACTGTGTTCGTGTGTACGTTTTAAACTGTAATGCAATTCCGTGATACGTGGAATTTTAAGTTACTCTGCCAATATATCATCTGCACTCATACGACGACGGATCAAGAACACTTATAATAACACAAATTACTAAAATAAGAGGTTTTCTTACATTTTTTTTTCTCCTGGAAACCGTGTAGGGTCAAGTGGGGTAATTTTAGCAATTGGGGTAGATGTAAAATACATTTTTTTATTAACGGAATTGAAAATTTTCAATTTTAACTCAATGATTTTAATTTATAATATGAAACATAAAAAAATATATGATACACATCGTTGGAAAACATTTCCGCATTTGTTGTCTATGATTCTGAGAGAGCGGGTTAGTAAGCTGAGCATGGAATTTATACAAGATATTAAAAAATTCCCGTGGACTAATTTGATATTATATTTGTAAAAAGCAAATTTTTTACAGCAATCGGAGCTAATTAATTATTTGATCTGTAATTTATTGACGTAAATCTCAATTTGTTTTTTTGCAAAATGTGTTTAGTCATCGTTGACGGTCTCTTAATAATTGGTTATTGGGTTTTCTACATTGGTATTTAATGAACTTACCATACGTGGATATGTGGTCAAAACCTGTACTCGCCAAGCAATATATACGACCCCAATAGAGACAAGATGGCAATTATGCAAAAATGGAATAGACAATAATTTTCGAAAATAAATGTGTAGTAACTACTACCCATGCTAGATTGTATCTTAATTTGATTTTTATAGACAATGCTTTTGTAACTTTTGGCCGTCAAAAGAATAAAATAAATAAAATTTGTAATAAACTGTTATCAAGACAAAAAATATTTAAAAAAAAATATACATATAAATATATTATAATATAATCATTGTTATTATATTTTTTAGCTACGAAACCAAACTATAAATAACTTTCAAAACCAATCATTATAATTTGTATTGCATTTCATAACGGCTATACTTAAAAAAAATATATAATATACAAAAATTAAAATTGATCAAAATTGACCAATTATCTGAAGTTAAATATCGGGTAAAAGATTTTTAATTAACATTTGTAGTTAAATATACAAATTTATTGCAATGTGAGAGTTCACATTTCTAACAGCTCTTAACCGATTTCATTTTATTTATTTCATAAGACTTTAACTTTAAATTATGCAAAACTATTTATTAAAAAGTTAAACAATAGTTAGTTATTCCAATATAAGTTTTTATTTTTGCAAAAATTGGCAATTATAATTTTAAAGTTTAAAAGCATATTGTAAACCATAATAAAATAAAAATAAATGTTTAAAATTAATATCTCGCTTTGATATTTACACAAAAAAAAAACTTAAAACCGCTAACGATTATTCAGTCGCCAACAATTCTGGCTGGTTTTTTTTTTTTATTAACGCAAAATAATCCTCAATATTGTTTACCTGTATAAAATAAAGTAAAACTGCTATGCCAACATTATTGGCAATAATGTTTGGAATTTCATTGGCAGGAGATTCTAAAAAAAGATACACTTATTGTAATATAATAGGTGCATTTTTTGCTTTAGTTTTATAATTTCAGTTGACTGTTTTGTCAATAATACACCCACACAGCAATTAGGAAACATTAATGTTATGTAAATATTGTGTTTTAATTTTATTTAGAAAATTATAAAAAAAAATCATATTTTATCAATATTTAATTTTTATGTTATTTTCACATTGTAAATTAAATTATTAACAAGTTGTAAATTAAAGTTTCACATTATTAAAGTTTTACATTGTTTCGGTTTAAATATTTTTAAAAATTGTTAACTCAATTTTAATATAAAGTACGTAGGTATATTATTCGAGTACAAATCATGAACACCATTTGAATATAAAGAGGTGCAATGCATATAAGGCAAGTGCCATAATTGGTATGATTTAGTTGAGGCGATACGAAGGGCATCCAAAATACGTCACCAAAGTTATATATTTTTTCCGACTGGGGAAGAGGGATATGTGCAATGATTAGCGGAATGTACCTTTGATATTTTTTGTTCTCACTTTATTCAATACATATATAATACAATACAATACCAATGTATCAATTAAAATATTTTCCTAAAACATATTTCTGAGACTTGTTCACAATATTTAATTGCTGTTTGGATATGAATATAGTACTTCTTTCTGTACATACAAGGTCCGAAACTTGTATGCTCACTATTCTTTTTTCTAAAACCAATTAAAATAATAAGAGAAAACTACATAAATTAGCATGAAAGACTAAACGCCTAGTCATTTTAATAACATTTAAGTTACTAGTAGTATTTTTTTTTTTTGTTCCATTGTGGATTTATAATAATTGTTAAGCGTTTGATATTTTTATCGTTATTCTAATTATTATTATTAATCAAATCGTTTTTTTTTGTTATTTATTGATATATAATAATCGTATTATAATGCAGTACTCATTTGAATCCTTATTCTGTAATAATTAACTAAGTAGGAGATCCCAATGTCTCAAATCGTAATAATTATGTATGTCAAGGTTGGTAGACGCGTTTGGGTTTATTTATTTTTTTTTGTTCTATATGGCTTATAGTATTATAAACAACGAGCAGTTGGCAAGCACAAACAATTATAACACATTAGGAATAATAATAATATGAAGTCTGATAAAGTACACGAATGGCATAGCATATTTTGTACAGAGAGAAAATAATATCGACTCTAATAATACTAAAACGAGGCTTTTTGTTACTTCATATTTTGCATAATTTTATAAAATTATTTTTTGTTTGTTTTTAAACAATTAGATATCCAGTGGAAAACTTTTAGCAAACATTATAATATATAGTGTATATACAGTATATATATAAAATAAGTACATGGCGACAGAAAAATATAAATGCTCAGATTAAGTTCATAATAGAGTAGAAAAAGTATATTTTTGAATAGCTTTTCAAATAAATTTAACTGTGTGATATATGTGAAAACTTTAAAACAATACAACCAGACAATGGTAAAATCCTTAAATGCCTCAGTTGTACTTTTCTAAAACTTAGAGTTTCATTCAAATCGGTGTGTTCTAATAACGTTGAATTTATATAAGCAATACAAATATTATATACAGGTTTCAGGGCTGGAAAAACTAGACGTCTTTAAGT